GTAGTGATTGTGGTGATGATGGTGGTGGTGGGGGTTGAAAGAAGGATGAATGAAGGAATTTTGTTGTTGTTGATGTTGTTGTTGATGTTTTTGTTGTTGTTGTTGTTGATGTTGTTGTTGATGTTGTTGTTGTTGTTGTCGATGATTCAATAACACTTGGGACTGTATAACATAGTTTGGTATGATATGGTCTTTTAGTAAGGAGGATTTTGATGTAACGTTGTTGTTGTCATTAATGTTGATGTCATGAATGTTGTTGTTGATACTGTTGCTGTGGTTGTCGTTATAACTTTTAATTTGATCATTTTCAATATTGATGTTGTCCGTATATTCCTGGATTTTGTTGCTTTTGTTTACGGTGATGTTGTTGATGTTGTTGTTGATGATGTTGAAGTTGTTGTTAATGATATTGAAGTTTTTAATGTAGTTGTTGTCGGCGTTTATAACGTTAGTGACGTCATCGTTGATGTTGTTGTTGTTGTTGTTGATGCTGTTGTTGTCATTGTTTTTGTTGATGTTATTGGTGCTATTCATAACGTTGTTTTTAATGTTGTTTATGTTCATGTTGCTGCCAACGCCATTAACATTATTATTATTATTGTTGTTGTTGTTGTTGATGATGATGTCATTATTATTATTATTGTTGTTGTTGTTGTTGTTGTTGTTGTTGTTGTTGTTTATGATGTTATTGTTGATTATGTTAGATTTGTTAATTTTGCTGTTGATGTTGCTGAAAAAATTATGATCATAATTATCATAATAATAATAATAATTGCTGTTATTATTATTAATATTATTAATTTGATTATTCATGTTATTATTTTGATATTTGTTACGGTCGTCATATTCTGCAATATTGTATTTGTGGTTATTTTTGTCATGATTATTGCTGTTGTTGTTGTTGTGGTTGATGTTGTTGTTGATGTTGTGGTTGCTGTTGTTGAATTCGATAAAATTGTTGTTTATGAGGATTTTGTTGTTGAGGTGTATGTTTATATTGATGAAGTCATTTGGACCAGAAGTGATGTCATTGTTTAGGTTGTTGTGGTTGACGTTGTTGCTGTTGCTGCTGTTGTTGTCGTCGTTGACGTTGTTGTTGTTGTTGTTGTCGTTGTTGTTGTTGTTGTTGTTGATGTTTTTGTTCTTCCACTCGTGCATCGTCATTATCTTTTTCACGAATTTCAATGGTTTGAAAAATAACTTTACTGACTTTATTTTAAGTTATGTATTCATTAGTTTTTTTCTCAATAATGTTAGTAATTTGTTGTCGATGTTGATGGTAATGATGTTGATGTATTATTATAATTATTATTGTTATTGTTGTTGTTGTTGTTGAAGTTGATGAAATTATTCAGAGCATAATCCGACGAAGCTGTGGTATTAGATGCATTATAAGAAGCGCTTAACGCGGCAAAGCTCAAAAAGTTGTAGGAGTTCTAGAACTTTCCACAAGATGATGACGACGATGATGATGATGATAATGATGAATAATTATAACGATGATGATGATGACGATGATGATGACGATGATGATGGGTTGAGTGCTGATGACGATAGGAATAATATTTAATACGAACACGACAATGATGATGATGATAAAAATGTTAATTCCTATAACAATTGTGATAGAAAATGATGATGATGGTGGTGATGACGATGACGATCTATCTGTCAATCAAATTTTAACTTTTTTTTTATTACAAAAAACGGATGGTCCAAACTGATGTGCCGTATAGATTATTAAGACTTGATAAAAATGTCAGACACAAAATAAAATTTAATTAATTAATGAAAATTAATGTCTTTAATAGCATCAAACTATTGTAATTGAGGATATCCAATTAATGTTATTAATGTTTGATAACATTTGCAAATATAAACGGGTATGTATATTTATATACATCAGAATTATGTAACTTCATTAAAAAAAATTATTATTTTATTATTAATAATATAATTATTACTATTATAATTAATTATAATTATTGTTTTTATTATTAATATAATAATTATTATTATAATTATTGTTACTATAATTATTATTATTATATTAATTTATTATTATATTTATAGGTTAATTTGCATTACTAAACGAAATAAAATTTAATTAAATAATAAAAATTAATGTTCTTAATAGCATCAAACTATTATAATTGAGGATATCCAATATAGATTACAACAATTAATGATGATGAAAGATGTGATATTTGCAACAAAATATACTATAATATCATAATAGATTCAATTTTCTATCACAGAATTAATCCTACATCATCATCATCATCATCATCATCCTCTTCTTCTCCTTCTTCATCATCATCATCTTCTTCATCGTTTTCATCATCCTCTCTCGAATCTCAGTCGACCAATCAAACAGTCCGGAGATGTTAAAATCGCCGCCCATTTCCATCCGCCTGGCCAATAGGAATCAAGATAATCTAATAAAAACAAGAATAATAACGACTTTAATAATAATAATAATATTTGCTAGAAAAAAATAACAACAACAATAATGACAATAAAAAAGTGTTTAAATAGGTTAAGATCGGGGGAGGGGGGGTGGGCAATCTACGGCCCGCGAGTACTTGTTCGCCAAAAAAGGTCGTCACCAGACATTTTGACAAAAAAATGCCAAAAATCCTAAAAAATTCTCCCCCGGGTCGAAAAAATTTGCAGTATAAGTCCATATGCGGCTCTTCAAATGTAAATAAGTTCTCAATGCGGCCCTCACAGCATAAACTTTGCCCACCCCTGGATTGGGCAAACTTTATGTAAAAGTGGGAATTTTTTAAGCGAATTAATATTTATTAATGTAACTATTTTATTATCATTTATTAATATTATAATATAAATTGTTAATCTTATAATTATATTTATATATTTATTATTAATATAAAATACATTACTATCTAAATAAAAATCTTATTTATTTAGAAGAATTCCCACTCAACCTTCATAGATAAACTTTTTCTTCCTAAAACAACATGAAATAATAATAATAAAAACATACCACACGCACACGTACACATATACACGTACAAAAATATTCACACATACACATACAAAGATATACACACAAAGAAAAATCACATAGCCAAAAACACTAATACAACAGATGTATTCATAAATTCGTACACGGAAACCAACACAAACATACTTATAAATATGCAGCTACACAGACACACATACACATACACACACACTTACACACACACACACACAAACGCGTGCACCTTTTTGATGAAACATGATATTTTTAATGGATGACTGTTGTTTGTTGGTTAAATTTCTATAACTTCAATTACAGATGTTTATATTACATACACACGGAGATGCGTGTGTTTGTTTGTTTGTGTGTGTGTGTGTGGGGGGTGGTAAAGTGATAGTAGCGATTATGACGCCAATAACGATGTTGATGATGACATAGATGATGACATTGATGATGACGTCATAATTATTAACCGGTGATGCTGGCTGACCATAGCTAGGATGACGATGCTAATGATGAATAAAGATGAGATGTTACATATGAATTATGATGAAAATTATGTATGTTTGAATGTATGTGTGTATGTACGTGTGTGTCAGATAAAACAGTTCGAAGTTTACTGGGTTTAACTCTAAATAAAGAGAATGTCAAAATTGACATTTAGTATGAGAAAGTCCACGCTTAAAGTATTGCTAAAAAAGTCTTTAATTAAGGAAATAATTTGAAATATTAAAAAAACTTCAAGAATATGTTCAGTTAAGATAAAGTTTTCAGTGTATTTATCTCAAACAGATAACCGCCGTATTCGAAACAACGTAAGTTTAATATTAGTTATATTGTCATTGTCAGAGTATTGTTGAGGATATTTCGTGAAGCGCTTTACAAACATTTAAAATTTAAAAGGAAACGAGATGTCGAGCATTTTTTTAACTTTTACAATTAGATTTTTAGAACAAAATAATTGATGTTCGGATGTTTTTTGCGTCTGCTCTTTAAATATTAATTTAATGGTCATTAATTATTTATTAGGGATATTAGTTTCTAATATTTGCTAATGCAAAATCATGAGCAAAACCAGCTCTGCAGGGTAATTTTCTTAGTAAAAATTTATTTAAATTAATTATTAAATAAATAGATAAAAATAAATTTTTGTATTCCTATTTTTCTTATAATAAATTTACCATAAATTTTTTTTTAAAGTAGGGCGGCTGCCGTCGACAAAAAGATTGAACCTAAAAAATCTAAAGAAAAACACAACGTAAAGTACAGTCATGAGGCCAATAAGAAAGATGGGTCCGTGGCTAGTGCATTCAAGAAACCGGACGCTCCAATAAAAAGGACATTGAGTGTGCAGAACGTTGGGGGCTCAGCCCCTTTATCTTTGATGCCTTCAAGTACTAATCTTTCAAAACTGTCAGTTAAACGGGCACATAGCTCACAGAATGTCAGTGCTCAAAAAGCTGGAGCTCGCCAGGTAAAAATTTATTAATATTTTAAAAAATATATTTTTGTTAGGAAATGAGATTTCAGAGTATTTTTATATATTTTTAACATTTGGATAAAAATTTTAATTGGAAAAATAGATTAGGTTATCAGCCCCAGTGAATGCGATGGCATACAATGCAGAACTACTGGCTAATTTTGAGAAGGAGAAGAAAATAATGGAAAGAAGGATTTCAGAGCTCATTCAGATTGCAGAGAATCGACAAAGGGATAATGAAAAGTTCAAATTTGAAGTGAAAAATTTAAAAGAAAAGCTCAAAGATGCCAGGATGTTATTGAAAGATCATCAAAGTCATTATTCCTCATCACAACAGCAGCAGCAGCAAACACAGCAGCAACAAAATCTTCCTAGTCCTGAGTCTAGTCTATTATTAATCGAGGAAATTAACCAACTGAAGAAGGAAAACAACATTTACAGACAGAAACTGAGTGAGTTGAACATTTGCTTGGATGATCAGCTGACAGAAACCGAAAGGAGCAGTGTTGTTCAGGCGGCTCAGAAAAAAGTTAAAAGTGATGCTGATGGTTTGTTTGTTTCTTTGTTTCTGACTGCTACTTTAAACGTAATATTAGACATGTGCTGTATTTTTATTAAATTATTTAAAATTTTTCATAATATTAAGACATTTTCTTGTTTATGGTTGGTGATCATTAAAAAATTTTCAATTTGCTATTTTATTCAATATTTTTTCTAACAATAATATTTCATAAACATCTTCATGTCTCTTCACATTGCAAAATATAAAAATCTGTCCAAAAATTTAAAAATCTGTCCAACGCCACTAACATTGTCATTTTCATTAGAACCATCTCATCCCCAATATTAAATATCCAAAATTATTTAGAATTCTCAAATAAGAACAAATCTTCGCCGAGTGACTCTGATTCGCAGAAAGAGACAGAGGCTTTCGACATGACAAGCAGTATGTGTGTTGAAAAAAGGTCACATTTTTTTTCTTGCATTGTTAGAATTAATTTTACTAAAGTACACACATCACTAACTTCACACACATCACTAACGTCAGACACATCGCTAACTTCACGCACATCTCCTAATTAGGTCAAATTATTCTCTTGACTGCAACTGCTGGGACCACCAGAGCAACAAAAGTAGTGATGGAGCCCTGAGTGAAGTTTCAGTGGCCTGCCTGCAGGATCGAATTCTCCAAATGGAAGAAACTCACTACAGTACTAACGAAGAATTACAAGCTACGCTTCAGGTGGGCTGATTTGATTGGCTGGTTAATTAGCTGATTTGATTGGCTGGTTAATTAGCTGATTTGATTGGTTGATATGATTGTCTCTTGGTGGATTTGGTTGGTTGGTTGGTTGACGTGGTTGACTGATTTGGCTGGTAAGGTTGATGGCATTGCTGATAAAATAGTTCATGACAGTCTATTTAATTTATAGTTTTCGTTGTTATTTAATTTCACATTCAAAACGACTTGAGGAAAATACAATCCAGCACAATATACAGTGTAACACAATGCAATACAGTATCACATAATGCTACAAAACACAACACAACAAAGGAATTGGCGGACCTACAAGATGCCGTCAATGATCTGACAGTTGAAAATGAAAGACTAGCAAACGAACGTAATGTCCTCCTGGAATCTCTATGTACGCAGACTGAAAAACTGGAAAATGCACGACTCCATGTTGATTTTGTTAAGGTATTTTGGATCTTTTGAATGCTGTCGCTGCTTTTGTTTATTAATGGCTATTGTTGATAATAGTAGGATTAGTTGTTTTTTTGGTCAAAGTAATTGTTGTTGTTGTTTTGGTCGTTGTAACTGTTGCGTGATTTTGTTGGTTAATCATGTAATATATAGTTTTACATTTTACATCATGGCATGGGAGATGTTTTTTAAATTTTGAGATTCTGAAAAAAAATTTTTCAAATTGATTTATTTAATATATTTGTCATTTGATGTTCGTAATTGATGCTGATGTTGAATTCCATTGCTACCTAATACGTAAGAGTATTATTATTTATTAATTACGTGTTGTTGGGAATCATTACTTTTGAAAATGTTATACAATATCTCTTTTAAACATTAAGCATGTGTCGTACAAGTAGCATGTTTTTAACATTGCTAATGTTGAGGATAAATCAAATCAGGCAGAGTTTCAAAGACACCCATCGTAATTGCACTTTTATTAATTATCCCACCCATTAAATATAAATCAATTATTTAATTTATTCACTTGTGTATTCATTTATTCATTCATTCATTCATTCATTCATTCATTCACTCATTCATTCATTTATTCATTCATTCATTCATTCAATCATTCCTTCATTCCTAGGCCCTTCTGCTACGAGATAGCGAGCTGTTGGGTGGCGAACGTTCGGAAAATGAGCGTCAACTGATGGCGTTAGTTAAGTCGGCGCAGGAAGAAAGAGAGGAGCTGCTGCTGAGGCAGGTCGAGATGAGCAACAATCTGCAGATGCTACAGAGGGAGAACCACGAGATCCAGGAGGCCAACGATGTCGTGCAGATGAGGCTCACCTCGAGCCAAAAGGAGGTCGAAGATGTCAAGGTTGAGAAAGTTAATTTGGAGGTTAGTCTCAAGAGGATGGCGTGGTGTGGTCACTGATGGTGGTTGGAAAATTTTTGATGGTGGTGTATGCGTCATAATTTTGTGTTGATGATGATAATTATCAAGAATTAAATTCTCGCATCACATCATTCAATCATCATTGTTTCAAGTTTTAACGTCCAATCCCATTCGCTTCGCCATCTCATCAACATACGTTGAACAAACAAACATTCCACTGAACCACCACCACCAACCGCAGCTGCAAAACTCCTCCCTCGAAGAACAACTGGACCACGGTAAGTTGGAACTCGAGAAACTTCGAATCGTCCTTGAGAGCGAGCAGAAAAAGGTCACGGAGATGGAGCACGAACGTCGTCTGCTGCAGGAAAAATCAGAAATGACAACTGTCGTCCAGTTGCTAAGAGATGAAAAAGAAAAACTAGAAACAAAACTAGTCAGCCTGGAGCAAGAACTCTCTGAGAGACGATTCGAAGGTGCAAAACTGCAGGAAACGTGCGATCTTCTACAAGAGGAATTGAAACTTAACACTTCAAAAGCCAATGCGAAACTAGTAGAGAAAAACTCTGAACTGGAGAGCCAGCTACAGAGAGCCAGAAACCACTGTTCTGAGATGGAGGAGGAGATATCTCTACTGCAGCATGACGTTGAGACATTGAAGGTGGAGTGCGACCAGCATATCGACGATAAGAAGACCCACACTCTGACTCTGGCCAGGGCTGAATCGGAGTTGAGGATCTGGAGGTCGAAAGCCAGTCGGGCCGAGAAAGATTTTAAGGAGTTGCAAGAGAAGTTTATTAGGGAGCAAGATGAATGGAATCAAGTTAGCGATGGTGGTAGTGATGTTGTCTCATTGTATGTGTTGTTGTTGTTGTTGTTGTTGATGGTGACGATGATTGTGCTGGTGATGGTTATGTCATAGTTGTTGCTGTTGTCGGTGGTGATGACGTTTGGAACAACGATGATGTTGCTAACGATTATTCAAATGGCACAACTATTTAACATTTCTTTTCCTCTCGTCTCTCTCTCTCTCTCTCTCTCTCGTTCTCTCTCTCTCTCTCTTTCTCTCTCTCTCTTTCTCTCTCTCTCTTTCTCTCTCTCTCTCTCTCTCTCTCTCTCTCTCTCTCTCTCTCTCTCTCTCTCTGTCTCATTCTTTCCCTTCCTCTTTCTGTACCTCATTCTCACTATCCCCCACCACCCTACCGTAGTTTCAGCAAGACTTACAGAGGGCAGTAGTGATCGCCAATGAATTCAAAACGGAGGCACAAGAGGATGCGGAGAGAGTTGCCAACGACTACCAGCGAATGCAGGACCAGGTTCGACTGCTGGGCAAGGAGTTGGAGCTCTCTAAGACTGAGACTGGTCGGCTGGTTATTTGGTGTCTGATTGATTTGTTATTTTGGTAGTTTGTGTTTTGATTTTGCATTGCGGTGATTGAGATAATGGCTGTTGTATAAGGTTATAGTAAATATCACTGTCAATTAATTTTGATAATTATTAATTGCTTATAATTATGTTCTCATCATCATCGTGATTAACATTATCTTTTTTGAAAAATGCAATTTACAGATCACCTAAAAAAGCAATTGCTTTCAGCGAACCAGCAGCTACAGCAGCAGCAACAACAACTTCAGCAGCAGCAGCAACAACAACAACAGCAGCAACCACAGCAAACAGTTTCGACTACGAACGTTGCACCTCAAAGATCGTCATCCTGTTCATCTTGCGGTCTGGCTCTGGACCCCACGACCACCCCGATGAGTCGAGAGGAGATCAGGGATAAAGTTCTCAGCTCCATGGATCGGGAGCTTGCAAACAGGAGGCAGATTTCTCGCAAGAGCGATTTCCGTCAACAACATCAGCAACTCTCAGTCCGACACCTCATCTCGTCCATTGAGGAGCAGGTAAAGAATAAAGACAACGTGACTACGATAGCAACAACAACGAATAATAACCAAGGACAGATTTCTCCGGCTTGCATAATGTCTCCAATGCCTAATTTGGCGTGTGGGGCCAGCGGAAGTGGGGCCTCTGCCATGAGGAAAGATAGTCTGACTTCACCCACGTTTTTATCGGGAAGTGGAGGCGGAAATGGATCCGGGGTTAAGATTGGCGGGCTGTCTTCTAGGCTTGGATCTGTTAATGCTTCTCAAAATGTTGGTTTATCTGTTAGATGATTTGCAACTTTACGTTTGTCACTATAATGACTATCTTTGTTTTTGTGACTGTAATGTTTTCATGTTAATTTTAAAACATTTCATCATGGTTTTTTATTTATCTTCTTCTTTTTCTTCTTCTTATTATTATTATTGTTATTATTATTATTATCATCATTATCATTATTATTATCATTAATATTATTAGTATTATTATTTTCACTCACTAAGTACCTGAGAAGATCAAGTACAGAGACGAAGGATGCAACATCACCGACGCATCACCACCACCACCACCACCACCATCATCTGCAATCCCTCACCTTGGACATACTCCAGGTGAGAGATTGCTAGTTTAAAAATACTGAATAACACAGATTTAATAATGAAAAAAAAATGGTTTTTATTCACGGCGTCAAAAATTTTAATTTGTGTCGGGCTATAAAGTTTGACAGATGTGGTGTACTTTTATGAATTAATGACAGATCTGAGGATTTCATTTTTATAATTTTACTAATTAGAAACTCTTTATTTTATTCTGCTAATCCTTTTCATGGTTCTGTTGAATCTTAGAAATGAATGATTGTACGCTATACAAATTTAATTGACTGATTGGTTAATTGATTGATTGATTAATTGATTGAAAGATTAATTGATTGAATGATTGATTGATTGATTGAATGATCGAATGAATGAATGATCGAATGAATGAATGATCGAATGAATGAATGATCGAATGAATGAATGATCGAATGAATGAATGATCAAATGAATAATCGGTTGATTGTAAAAATGTTACATATCTACACAACCAGGCACCTACAGCCACGGATGATACCAAGCAAGCAGTAGTGGAGTGCACAAAAGACATCGAGGCATCTACCTCTACCTCGTCGTCATCGTCCTCTGCTCTGGTGGCTTCTAGAAAGCCATTGGTGGGAATATTAAGTAATAAGGTGGTCGGGCAGAAGAGAAAGTCTTCTGTTAATGGGTCGGTTTGTTTTTTGCAGTGGATTTGTTTGTTTGTTTTTTTTTATTTATTTATTTTTTATTGTATAAAATGTTTAATTAAATGTGATTTTTGTGATTGCATTCTCAGATTTTTATTTTTTTGTTAATACGCTGATAAACCAGACAAATGCATCCTGAAAAGTAAAATTATCCCTGGAAAATAATTTAAACTTATTACACCCACCTCTCTAATCAGTGACAACATAGAGACATCACCTGAAAAGACAAGCCATACCCCCTCCGGACACCACCTCTCAAAAGTAGACCCCCTGTCAAACCTGGCCAAACAGTTAGGGGGCTCCAAGAGAAATGCCCTTCTCAAGTGGTGCCAGAACAGGACTGCGACTTATAGGGTGGGCTAAAATTTTTTTTTCTTTTGATAGTTTGAGTAGTATAACCTGAATTAATTACTGACATGATGACTCATGATATGTTTTCATTTACTACCTCTATATTTATCCTCAACAAGTATTACAAGTGTTTAAAATAGCTAGTTAACGAATAGGTGAATTAATGAATGACTAATTAATTAATTAATTAATTAATTAACAACAAATAAAAAATAGTAAACAAAAATGTGAGATGAAAAAAAATAGAGAAAAAATAAACCCATACACAGGACATAGATATCACAAACTTCAGTAGCAGTTGGAATGATGGCATGGCTTTTTGTGCTCTCCTGCATACCTACATGCCTGATAAGATACCTTACAAAGAATTAAATACCTCTGATAAGGTGTGTGTGTGTGTGTGTGTGTGTGTGTACGTACGTGTGTATTCCTGTGTTTGTATTTGTCTGTATTTGTATACGACGTACTGCTGAGAAGATGTGTACGGTCATGTGTGTTTATGTTTTGTATGTGTTTATATATTTGTATTAGTGTGTATGTGTTCATATACGTTTGTTTAGGTGTACAGATATTTGTATGTGTGTGTATGTATGTGTGTGTATAGTATATGCGTGTGTACATATATGTGTGTGTGTGTGTGTGTGTGTGTGTGTGTGTGTGTGTGTGTGTGTGTGTGTGTGTGTACAGTTTATTTATACAATTTATGTAATTGTACTGTACTGTTGAATTGTTTTTATTAATTTATGTAATTAGGTGAGAAATTTCACGTTGGCATTCAAGGGGGCAGAGAGTGTTGGCATAACTCCGGCATTGGTCATTTTATTATTTCAATTATTATATAAAATAATATTAATAATTATTGATATTTATTTATTTATTTATTTATAGTTAAATGTTGTAATGAGTGTTTTAAATAGCAGTTCATTTTTAGTTAATTGGACTTATAAATTACCTTAACAACCTTTATTGAATGATTGATTGATTGATTAATTGATTTGTTCGTTCATTCATTCACTCATTCATTCACTCATTCATTCACTCATTTACTTGTTCATTATTACGCTCAATAATTCATTTATCTACCCGTTCATCCGTCCATCCATTTATTTATTCATTCACACTCATTCTTTAAATTATTTTTTTTCAAAGATTTTAAATTTTTATCTACCAGAACATAATGGAGATGGCGACGAGAGAAAGACCTGATTGGCAGGCTGTCATGTCATACGTCACAAATATCTACAAACATTTTGAATCAACCAATTAGAAAAGTGGGAAGGGTTTTTTTGTCAGGCTTTGAGTCGACCTATCAGATGGTGAAATGATTTGAATTGGCCAATGGGAAGAACAGGGAGGATTTGATTGGTCAGTTGAGAAGGTTTGAATAGGCCAATCAGAAATTGAGAATTTTATTATTGGCCAATTAAAAGAAGAGAAATTGATGATTAGCTGCTGGTTGTATATCAGATGAAGAATGATTTTGAGATTTTTTCTTTTAATTTGATTTCTTTCTGTTTTAAATTCTTATCAGATGAAGAATGATTTTGAGATTTTTTCTTTTAATTTGATTTCTTTCTGTTTTAAATTCTTATCCATTTTTGCGTTTCAATTAATTTTTCTACTATTTTCTGATTAAAACAATTCCAGGAACTATATATTGTGTGTCATGTATACATACATATTTATGACGTGTGCGTGCATGCGTGCGCGTGTACTAATTTAACTACATTTCACTAGTAAATCAAAAAAAGTTAGAATTAAATTCTTAAGATTCTTATCAGGATATTTTATTTATATCTGAGAAAGTGGGAAAGAGAGTTTGAAAGGAATGTTCAGTACTTTCTGTTTTAAAGTGAAAAGCGAATTTTTTAAATTATACTTTTATTTGTGTGTTTGTGTCTGTGTGTGTGTTTATATATTTATATTTGTATTACTATATTTGTATTACTCTGATATAGTCACATTGATTAAACTATTATTACCAACATTTAAGAGTCATTTTTATTTATGATTTTGATTTATTAAGCTTCCAAATCAGTTAGTGAATTTATCTTTCGAAAAAAAACTGCCATATGTATATTTAATAATTATACACACACAAACACACATACACACACACGCACATATATATATGTATATATGTGTTTGTGTGTGTGCGTGCGTGCGTGCGTGCAATTTTTGTTCTTAATTTATTTATGTGAGTCATGTTATTTAATTTCATGCATTATTTCTATTTCCAAGGACAAGAGCTCAGTATATATTAATAATAATAAAAATAATAAATCGCTGGAATGTTTAAAGCGGCTGTTTACATTATATTACATAACATTCATTTATCTATGAACATACTCACGTACACAATCATACACACATACATACATACACACATACATAGATACATACATTCATACAAAAACACATACATACACGTACGTACGTACGTACATACATATACACACACACGTACGTACATTTATACATTCAAACTTTTTTTAGGCAGTTGAGTCACACTGCTTTAATAGTTTTAACAGACATCTTTTCATCCTCATATGTATTTTTCCCTTAAATATTTTTAAACTTTACAATAATGAGATTATTATTAATTAATTAATTAATTAATTTTATTATTATTATTGTTAACATTTGGTTCTATTTATTTGTTTAATTTTTTAAATTAGTTATTAATTGCTTTGACAAAAAAAAACAAGTTTCTACCTTTCTATCTCTCTCTCTCTTTCTCTCTCTCTCTTTCCCTTTCTTTCTTTCTCTATTTGGAAATATTTTAGTAATTGTAGTAGTAGCAATAGTGGTGTGGTGATAGTAATAGTAAAAGTAGCAGCAGTTGTAGAAGTTTCAGTAGTAGTAGTAGTAGAAGCTGCAGTAGTAGTAGAAGTAGCAGCACAACATGCCTACCACACCACGTAAATTACTCTGGGTTAAGTAAAAACTTAGAACCTCATATAAATCAATGAAAGCAATAAAAATAGCATGCAAAGATAAAATGAGATGACGATGTAATTAAACGAAATTCAACTCGAAAATATAAATCCGTTGGATTGTTCAAAAGAAGGGATGATGAGTATGATGACGACGACGACGATGATGGTAAAAGAACACAGACGAGACGAATGATGGCAGTGATAATGTGTCATTCCTGATGTTGACGGTGACGAAGATGATGACGACGACACTGATGACGTAAACAACAACACATCATAAAATGTAAATTAAAATGGGCCTTGTGTTTACATACATGTACAGTACATACATAAATACATACATACATTCATTCATACATTTATTCATTCATTCATTCATATATTCACACAAAAAACAAACAAACATTAGTCACTCATTCATTCATACATACAAAAAACCAACATTAGCACTATCATGGTAATTCAATGTCAGCCCGGGAGTATTGTGTATCAAGAAGATAAGGAAGAGTTGAATGTGTCTGAAAATATTGTGTATATGTGCATGTCTATCTCTGTCTGTCTTTCTTTGTCTCTTTCTCACTTCCTGTATTATGATTCCACATAAGTAATGTATATCAAGGGACTATGTATATCAAGGAACAATTTCTTATTTCAATGCGTTTGTTCTTATTGTTTGAATTGCAAGCGTTACAAATATTAAAATACACACGCTTGTCTCTCTCCCTCTCTCTCTCTCCTTTCCTTAAAAACAATATGAATGGAGATGATTATATGCTGGTATCATTCTATGGTCACATTCAAATTAGACTTTTAGTAAAACACGAACGCATATGCATGCATGCATACATGCATCATACATACATATATGCATATATACATACATACATACAACACACATTTGTTAAATTTTTTACAATTCAAAAGTCTTCTTTTGAAAACAGGCTGTATATTCATTCGTTTGAAAAATAACAAGTAAATTATTCTTGTTAACATCATGTTTGCTACGTGTGTGTATATATATATGTGTGTGTGTGTGTGTGTGTGTGTGTGTGTACGTGATTTTTATCTTAAAGTACAGTTTTATGTACATTCCTCTTTATTATTTATTCATGCACCTAATCTATATTCTTGTATGGTGCTACTCAGTGTATGTTATTTAATTAGATAATAATTCATTCATGCATTCTTTCTCTCTTTCTTCCTTCGTTCGCACGTTCGTTCATTGAATTACTCATTAATTCATTTATTCATTCATTCACTCATTCATTATTTTCACTCAATAACAAAAGGCAAGCAAATATGTAGTAACACTTCAGTGTGAAAAGTAGAATGTAGAATTGAGAGAATACGTCAATACGTTTTAGGTATTCTCTCTCTATCTATCTCTCTCTCCACTTTCTCTTTCTCTCTCTCTGTTTATATATATGTGTGTGAGTGTGTGTATTTGCGTATTGTAGCTTTTCATTGTTCAAGTAGGTTCACCACCACCAGGCAAACAATCGTGAATAAATTAATATTTGTAGGGAACCTGTGTGCATACATACATGTATACACATACATACACACACATACACACACACACACACATACATACACACATACATGCACATACGCACGTACGATTTCTTAGTCCTATGTGATTTGGCTGGATATCTATTCCATTAAACAAGGCCACCACCTTAGCTAAAGTATTTCCATAATCTAAACTGAATAACTTTATGTGTAATAATAATGATGGTAACGTGACTTTACGATGTGTGTGTGTGTGTGTGTGTGTGTGTGTGTGTGTGTCTGAAAGAGAGAAATAGAGAGAGACAGAGAGAGGGAGAGAGAGAACGTATGTGTGCCTGATTTTTCAATCATAACTCGTGTTTAGTTATTAGTTTACTAGCTTCTTAATTTTTATTTTGTTTTAAGTCCGGCTCGTTTAATTACCCTAATTTTCCGTCAAGTGACCTCACTTGTCGAAAGGTCAAAGTTCATATAACTATATATATATATATATATATATATATACATATATATATATACATACATACATACATATATATACATATATATATATAACTATGTATGTATTATGTACATAAATACATGATCAATTTTTCAATTGCCTTTTATAATGAAAAGCACGGATCGCTCTTGCCATTCGGTGTTGGTCTTTTGTTGGTTTGGTACTCGAATGATTATTTTTATTTTATTATATAAATTGTTTTTATCTTTGCTCTGACAACTAATAATAATAATAATAATAATATCAACAACAAATAATAATATCAATAATACTACCATCACTTTATTATCATCATTTGTCTTGTTGTCGTCATCATAATGACCATAATAATTGTTAATCGTTGATATTGGTTACAATAATTTCTCTATAATTATCGTTGACATTAATATTAATTGATTGTCTATCTACCTGATGTATCTTACATTGCTCTCTTTGACTTTCGTTAATATTTTTATAGTTATTTTATTTTATACCGACTATCGCTACAACTTTATCTTATATATGTCCTTTATTTTATTCTGTTAGGAATACTTACGGCACATAGGAGGACTTAGGATCTCGCCTCACAATCTCAAATTGATAAATTATGATAATTCAAAGATTCGGAGAATCGTTATCGTTCAGTTGTACGAAGCCGCAGAATGGCCGTCAAACTAACTCGACTATCGTCTGCGAGAAGACATGCCGGCGGTTGAAAGAGGTCTTGACTTTTAGTGATGTTATGGTACCGAAACTATTCGCTAATACGATAATCTGTCGAGACGATTTCTCAACTAAGAAGCACTACAGATCAAGTATCGTGTAAGTGAATATTTATGATAACCATTATTATTAATTAAGTTAACAACGTATGCATGTGAGCAGAGCAAGTGGATTACTAAGTTGCGTTTAATTTGTAAAACTTTTACATTAAAATTCCAAATAGAATTATTTCGGTTATGAAATTTAATTATGAAGCCTCTAAAATATGTTGTCTATAACTCACTCCATTTGGTAAAAATGTTTGAAACATTATTTCTTGGCGTACAACCTCTGGCGAACAATCCTAATAGGTCTACTCGCAAATAAATCCACAATTCCTTAGTAAATGTTATCCCCAACTCTACTATTCCTAGAATTCAGCGTCTGTTAATGCATCAGTAGATACCTCATCTGGTTGCTCCGCGGGTGTATCTTCGAACTGCGATCTCCTTTTTTCCCCGCATCTCCGTTTCTCCTTGAAAAGCGATGTTATAATGAGAAGAACAAGCAGCCACAGCGGGACAACCACACCTAATGTGATGTACGTCAAATATGTAGAATTATCTATATATACGTCAGATTTCATATATGAATTTTTAATTGCGTCAGATTCTGTGGCAGTAGTGGTAGATTTAATAGCAGCGGTAGTTGTAGTCATTAATAAACAGTCATCACCGCAGCATATGACGGTTGTGTTTTGCTTATATTCTGTGCACATTTCATTTCCACAACCCCCGTTGGAGAGGTCGCATCCGGCTTCAAACACTTCCAACTCTGCAAGTGCTGCAAAATTTTCATGCAGTTTTTCATCAGACTGTTGGATGATGACGAATTGTGAAAAGATGGTGAAGTTTTCACAGAAGACCACAATGGGGTTTCCACTTTGCAGTGCTATTTCTGGTCCATATCCGCACAAGTTAGTTTGGTTACTTATGTCGTCTTTGGAAGTTGTGTTGAGTGTTTCGTTGAGTCTAACGACAAACCAGTTCATACGATGAACGCTATTTATTCGTATACTCATTCGGTTATATGCTTTAATGAAACCAACGCAGTATAAATTGAGTAGGTCGACAGCCATCCAAGCTGTCATAGGACCATCAATGTGGGATATAAAAAATCCATCGTATATGCCGTCAGTTAAATAAAATTTGTTATATGCAAAATGACCGTCTTTAATTTTCCTGTGATGCGAACTATCAATATAATAAGGTGGTTTTTGCAGAGCTATATTCCTCCTAAAAACCTCGCATTTAAACCATTTGTTTCTTACCTTGGCAGGTGAACAGACACATTCAACGTACCTGATGCTATTAACAATTGATTCAATGCATTTCATTCCAACGGGACAATCCCCGCTGTTCTTTTCACAATCTCTTTCTCTGCATGAATCCCCTCTCCATCCAGGATCACACCCGCTGGGACATGTTGCTTTTATTTCAATACTTCTGCTCTTTCTGCAATGAGAATAGGACGATACACCGCGTTGGAAGTCGTATTGGAAGCGTGTAGCAAATATTGTGGTCTTGGCTTGGTGGGTTTCATGATAACATTCACAAACTTCGTAAGGATTATGTTTGCATTTTGTACATATCTGTTTTTGTTTGTAAATATTACCTACTTTATGCTCCTGAAAACAACTGCAAAGTTTATCCCTGATCGTTTGAAAGAATGTATGGTTAGTTTCTAGACAGAAATGTGCGCATGTCTCGAGGGTGTAGTCAGCTGGCAAAGTCATCTCGATAGATTTGGTCTGACGGTTGTCCATACTTGCATATGCATCGTGCATCACTCGTGGCTTGCTTTTATAAACGGAATATGAAGCACTTCCACCACAAGCATCTTTATTGTCGCAAGGAACATCACACTGGGATGAAGCCACTGCTGAATCTAACCTTCCAATACAGTTGCATTCTTTTCCATTCTTTAAAGCGATCATATTGTTAATTTCCAAATTGCACTCCACTGAACAGCGATCCACTGAGCCAACTGATGCAACTGTTTTCGTTGAGCTGATGTTTCGATAGCATCCTATGTAAGATTCCTTCAAGTCGATTGCTGCATGGCCTACTGAGGACAGGTTGATGAACACAAATGTTAATACGCAAATGTTAATAAACTCCATTTATTTTTTTTTGCATTTGAGCGACAGTCAGATTTTTAAAGCGAAATTCTATTGTACGCATGTTTACAATGCTTAAATTGGTTGCAATGTGACGCGATAAAAAATTTGAAACGTCAATTATTATCATGATCTCTAATTTCATTCGAATCCAGGCTGTGAATATTTTGAAACAAAAAATTAGTAACACAACAAGTTTACAAAACTTATGAATCAGTTTGTTTTCATAAAATGTAGCACTATCAAAATGTCAGATAATATAAAATTGATATTCAATTGACAACTCAGTCACAAGCCTGCATATCTGTAACCGCAAATAATTTCAAATGTTTTAAACGTTAAAGTTTGGAATCTCGTTCCGATACGTCAGCAGATGAGTCAGTTGTAGATTTGCTTGAATATTCTTTTTTCTTTCGCTTCTTCATAAAAAGTAAAAAGCAAGTTAGAAGAGCAAGCAGCGGCGGGAGTAACACAACTAAAATCATGTAAGTCGTGCGTGGTAGGTCACCCAATCGCCTGCTGTCATTTTTCTCAGTAACCATATTAGTAGGAATAGTAGTTGGCAATTCATTGCAGTGGATGACAGTTGAATGTTTTTTCTTCTCTTCACTGCACGGTTCCGCTCCCCACCTTCCGTTAAAGAGGTCGCATCTGGCTTCAAACACTTCCATCTCTGCGAGCACTGAATTAAGTCTGGACAGACACATTCACATTGCGTTGGAAATCGTTTTGAAGGCCTGTTGAAAATATTGTGGTCTTGTCTTGGTGGTCTTTATGATAACACTCACAAACTTCGTTCACATCATGTTTGCATTTTCACATATCTGTTCTTGCACGTAACTTAGAGTTATTTGATGAAACAACTGCACTTAGCACTTTTGATTGTTTGAAAGAATGTATGATTCGTTTCAAAGCAAAAATGTGCGCACATCTCGAGAGTGAAAGAAGCTGGTAAGATCATTTCGGAAATCTCAGTATGAGGATCATCCACGCTTATACAGGCGTCATGCATGACTCGTGGCTTGCTATTACAAACGGAGTATGAATATTTTTTTTACTTTCTAAGTGTTATTAATGCATACGTACACACACGGACAAGTGTATGTTTGTGTGCGTGTTTGTGTGTATATCATAAACTTGTATACGAATATTATAAACCGTTTTAAACATTGGCAGTTACGAAAAGAAAACGCGACCAAAGTACTTTTCGGTGACATGTTACGTAGTACCAAAATCCAAAGAGCGAATTGTATGGTCGCAGTCAGAACATTACGATTCGAGAATGCCGTCAAAAGCCGTCGACAAATGGTTCGGCAGTTCAATTCTCTTAATTTCCAGATTGAAGGAACACAAGATTGACGGAGTCTTGTTTGTTCCTTGCGTTCAATCAACTACCGAATCACTAATCACTAAATCACGAATGAGCGATTCAACGAAGTTATTAAGTAAAGATATTGACATCAACCGTGACCACCTACCAAGGCGAGTTATGGAAGGATGATCGTTTACCAAAAAATGCTTCCTTACATCATTCTTTACTATCTGCTTTTTACGTATTAACATTTCATTTTCTATAATTTTATTTCTTATTTCTTGACTAACCATTTGTTATTTTGATTCAATTTATATGTAATTTTGATATAATTTTCTGTTATTTTTTTGCCATTTCTATTAATTGTGTGCTTATTAATTAGTGTTTCAGTTGGTTGCTGTCTTTGTGCATTTTTTTCGTGGTGTTTCGTAATGTATTTTATATATAATGACATTTTGAGTTAACGAGATTTAGTGGGTTTGATCATATCGAATCTTATAGGAAAAAAGGATAGGAATTTAATCTAGTAATTCTTATACAATTATAATAAATCGATAAACCGTTACAATTAGTTACAGATTAATTGATACATATTTATTTTTTAACATTTATTCAATATTTATTTTATTTCTAATTAACATATTTATTTTATATAAGCCCAATGATATCTTTAGATGCCAGTTAAATTACATTTCATTTAATTTAAAAGTACTGTTGTATAGACCATTAAATTTGACTATTCCTTAGTTTAGACTATATATGTATAATAAAATAAAATAGATTAATTAAAATGCAGAATTTGTTCTACATATACGGTAGACATTAAAATTTAAAAATTTAATTCTATAGATCATTGAATTTAAAAATTCCATGGTATAGACTGTAAGACTAAAAGTGAATCTCTCTACATTACCTTGGTTTTTGTTGACGAGTATTTCGAATTTCCTAGCTTTGGCGATTTTTCTAACTAATCGGTGAAAAGTTATCTGAAATTTTAATCAAACATTGCGGTTATAGTTTGCGAAATTGGTTTTTTTATTTTTTGAAAAATTAATGTTAAAAAAAGGATTGTTTTTTGGTATTTGTTGTTTTGCTTCAGCTTTTTCAATGTGAGTTTTTCTTTTTTTTAGCAACAGTTTTTTTTTCAAAGTAAATGTTAAAATTTCAGAAATTTTTCGAAGTTTTTCAAAATTAACAAATTTTCGATCAAAAAATAAATTTATAGATATAAGTTTTATTTATTTCTTTGATAAAAATATTGTATTAAGCTAGGAAATTGTTTTTTTGTTTTAATACAAAATACATAATAATATTTGATTTGAATATAATAATAATTCATCTTTTAATATTAATTTAAAATATTTTCATTTTTAACCTGTTTTTAACTTATTTTAAAACAATGTGCAGATTGAAACAGGTGCCAAATATGCATTACAAATGTCGTAACTCTCAGTACCCTAGAAGTAACCTGATGAGACTGCACGTACCCGATGATAAAGTGCCATGGAACGTTGAATTTCCTGACTACTTCCCCATTAGTTACACTGATCCTTCCGTTTATGGAAAGCCTTGGGCTGATGTTGATTTCGAGTAAGTTAACTTAGGGAAAGTTTTACATACTTAACTGCCTAATAAGTACTATCTATTTGAAAATTATAATTGAAATTGACAAAACTAATTAGCTTTTAGTCAGTATTATTTTAATATTTCATTTTTGCTCTTCAGAAAAGAAGGAGCTAATCCCCAAAGGATCTCTTGGAACCAGATTGACACATCTCTAAACGTAGATCGGACCAGTTTCACTGGCAACTATAGGCTCAATACTGATGGCCTGCCTATGTCAGTATAATTCATTTATTCATTATTTATTATTATTATTATTTTATATTTTTTAATAATAATTTTATGTTATTATTATAAACTTATAGTATGTAATTAATATTGCAATTTTTTATTCATATCTTATTTAATTTAATTCTTGTTCAAAATTTTATAAGAATAGTTTGATAGCAGCGTTGGTATTTTACAATAACGACATTAATTATGATATTAATTAATGACGATAGGGAAATAATAATAACAAGGATGATAAACCAATAGTAATAACAATAAAGGAACCCCATGGGCCGAACTGGGATCAAAGGTCGCGGATTGTTGGGTCGCTGGGGTCCAAATCACGCCGGTGACCCTATTGTTACTAGGTTAGTTAGTGATGTGATTCCTATGTTAGTAAATCCACATACACACACACACACGCATGCACGCAAACACACACTCGCAAACACACACACACACACACACAGCTTATGTAAATTCGTGTTAATCAATGCATTTCAGATGGGCCAGAGACCTAGTGACAAAATCAGTAAAGGTAGATAGCACTACTAAGAAACCTATACTTCAGTTTGTGTCCATTCAGAGGAAAGATTCTAAAGAGTGGGCCATTCCCGGGGTTGTTGTAGTTCTTGATGTCATTGATGTTATTGTTGTTGTTGATGTCTTTGTTGTTTGTGTTGGTGATGTGTTGGTGTCTTTGGTCTTTGTTGTTGCTACTATTGATGCTATTTCTGTCAGTTTTATTGTAATTTTGTTAATGTAATAATGTTTTGTTTTTCTTTCTTAGTCACACACCTTTTTGTATTCATTCTAACCTTGTTAAAGCAACTTAAGACCAACCAGCCAGTTTTTTAGCCGCTTTTAACCATTGCACTATCATTCCCCTGATGTTTTTATTTGGTTTATTATTTCCTTGCTCTGTTGTCACCACTCAAGTTGATGTTATTTGTGTTTATACTGATGTCATTTGATCATTGTATTGGTTGATGGTGTTGTTTCCTTCTGTGTTTTATTATTTTTATAGTGTAGTTTGTTGTTAACTTGATCAGGGTATGGTGGATCCAGGTGAGATGATTACCGAAACTTTGAAGAGGGAATTTGCTGAAGAGGCCCTCAATTGCTTGGAGAAGACTGAGGCGCAGAGGAAAGCAGTCAATGATAGATTGGACAAGGCATTTAAAAATGGCGTTGAGGTACATACACACACACACTTGCACACACACACATACACACACACACTCATACACACACACACACACACACACTTAGAACAAAAATTACAGACACAAACAATTGTGCATGTTTATTGTGCATGTTTATATTTATGTTGTACGGACGGACGGACGGACACACACATCTATAACACACACACACGTACACACACACACACACACACAGGTCTACAAAGGTTACGTAGATGATCCGCGCAACACAGATAACGCTTGGATGGAGACAGTTGCATACAATTTTCATGATGACAAGAATGACATTTTCAATATGAATTTTAAAGCCGGTAGGCCAATTTTGTTCGTCTTGAAGATAATATTATTCATATTTATAGACATCATAATTTCATAATGATAATAAATCAATAATAATAAATAGTAATAAATAATAATAAAAAAATGATGAAGGTGATGACGCAATTGGTGTTAGATGGATGAACATTGATAGAAACATCAAACTCTATGCCAGCCACAAACACTTCATCGAGAAAGTTGTGCAACTTAGGGGGGCCCATTGGTAGTTAGAATGAGGACAGTGAAGGTGATAAGGGGTAGCGGTGTGTTCTTTCCTGGTGATGATGTTATCTGCGATGAAAACGATGATGATGATGACGATGGAAATGATGACGATGGTGATGGTGATGAAATCAATGGCGTCTGTGATGATCTGACAATGATGATGTCTATTATGTTGATGGTGTTCATGGGGAAGTTGAAGATGATTAAGAGGATGTGATATGATCGCAATATTTTTATTTTTCATGTTTCTTCAATGGTAATAATCTTAAATTGTATTTGTTATATGCATGAAACAATTTTTTTGACAAGATGTCTATGATTTAGTTAGCAACCTTAGTAGATTTTTACGCTAATTCTTACCCGTATATTTTATTTTATTTTATTTCATTTCATTTAATAACTTATTTAGTAAAACGACACTCTTTAAAAAATAATAATCGTTGTTACTGTTGTTGTCATGTGTATGTATCTTTAATAGTTGGCTATTGTTTTTTCTATTGTTGCAAAATTGTGATGTTTGATAAATTTTTACATATATTTTATCTTTTTTTTTAGTTTTTTGATATTTTCAATTCTTTCTAAGAAAGCTTATTTTATAGATTTTTTCTATGTTTCATTCTCACCCTATCTATCTATCTATTTGTCTATCCAGCTATATATCTATCATTTCAATAGCCGCTTCAGATTCTATGTGATTTTGTTGAGATCTTTTTAATAAACATTACGAGTGAGTGACAATTCTGCGAGTGATTTATTGAAAGACTGAAAAATGATTTCATAAATTTTCATACTCTGGAAATATAAATCTGACATAATATGTGACACTTCGTGATATAAATTTTTAATGGGTAGGTTTTAGTAAGTTAGATTTCAGACACATTCAGTCACACAATCCTCTCATAGCGTACTTGAATCAGTGTGTTAATACGGCCCTAAGTAAGAGAAGAGTAACTTTAAAATACACGAATAATGTTAAAACAGGAGTGTTAAATAGAATCTGTCGTACCGTCGACCAATATATATTCTATACATATGCTATTAGCCATCATTTATTACATCGTTCATTTGAAGATTGATCACTCAGATGACCCGGAAAAGTATTCCAAGTATATGGTATATATATATAGAATAAATAATGGTATTTAGCATATAATTAGAATAAATATAACGGCCTTCGCTCATTTTTGACGGTCGAACAAGGAGCTTACTTCCGGAGGGAAATTGGAGGGTGATTTTTTATCGCCCAAGTCAAAAGTTACGATCGTATATTTACTAATTTCGGAATATTGCTTTTATTTAAAATTTCAAATTGTTTTGAAAGGTGATACTAGATGCTGTTTTAGGATAGATATTGCTGTATGACGGTAAATATCTTTTTGCATTTTAAATAAAAAAAATTTTTTGTGAACCACCAACAACACTTAACTCATTAACTGTAACAACACTAAACGACGACTAATTAGTAATTAAATTACTAAACTCTAATAATTAAGCTAAAACTAAACTCTACTGATTCTAATTACTAATTGAAATAAATAACAAATAACACTAACAAACATTAACAGATTAGCTACTAGAAACTACCAACCACTACACTACTACATACTACTACTACACTAACGACTAACAGCACTTGTTCCTAAGATCCTAAATTCTATTGCTTGATTGGTTTTAAAATTTTTATTTACAATGCTTAAGTCTGAGAATAAAAAATATACTAAATTAAATAAATATATTAAACAACTTATCAATCAACTTTATATAATAAACACTTTTGTAATTTGTTCAATTCAAGCTTCAAACTCCCCAAGCTAACTTGCAATTTAATTAAAATTTATTAATTATGAGTGATTCAAACTAAATTTTTTTTCATTTAATGTTTTACAAAATATTCCTCATTCTTAAATTGTAGTACATGTTGTTATTAAATTTATTAAAGATAATGTATGATTCCAGTGATTCATCAATCCATGACTTGTTAGATCATGATCATTCCGTTTTAAAGAATCCCCATCACCATAACCAATGAGGTTTGTAGAAATTGTACTTTTAATTTATTATATTTTATGCACTTAGAATGTTGTGTTATTAATTATTATCATTAATTTATTTAATGTTGTGCATACCTTTGGCAAGTAAATAAAATAATTAAGCATAGAAATAGCCACAATCAAATTAATTTATATAGGCATGAGTATAACTTGGATAATAATAATTAAAAATATCGGTATCATTGAAAATGGATAAAGTCATAAATAAAAAAATAAATCATAAATTGCTAAAAATAATAGTTCCAGTAAGATTTTGCCTTACACCTACATCTTTTTTTCATTCTTATATTATAATAAATGTTTGTTATAAAATATATCAAGGATTGATTTCTCAATCCATGATTAGATTGAATGTCATGATCCTACAGTTCCAGAGGATCCCCATCACCATTAGTCAATAAGGTTTGTAGAAATCACCCAGGCATACCATCAATGTTTTGTAGCCACCTTTTAATGTAGTGTTAATAAAATGACATTGAGAATAGTTATTTAAAACAATCTTATTAAAATTATTGAACAGGTATGACAAGATTACTTTCTTAATGACCTAGTGTGAGGAAGATGTAAGCCATTTGTCCAAAGATAATCATATGCCTTATGCCCATACAAATGCAGTGTCAACGCGAATGATTTTTGATCAGAGTCATATGTTCTAATTTTTTTAAACTTTTCCAGAAATTTTTCTGTTAATTTATTTGTTACATTAAATACTTGATGTGTATTTCATATAAAAACTTGATTATGCCAATTTAGTTAACTTGTTAAGCATTAATATAAAATTGACTCTACTTGTAATGGTGATTGGTATGATGATGATGATCCCAGTCCTAAGCAGGGTTTATTATTCACAATGTCATTATGCCCTTTCTAAGTTTTAATAAAATACATGGAATATTGTTGAATGCATTTTATATTTTTTGTATAGATAAGAATGTTGCAATGTACAATGATGATGTGAATTGCTTCCTTGTGTAACTGATGACATATAAATATAACTAACTTGAAAACATGGGAATGCTTTCTTCAGCATTACCTTCCTTTCTCCATCATAACCCTTATAATCTTTATTACAGAAATGGTCACTGCATATTCTTGCATTTTTTGATGGAAGCCATTTGAAATCATTTATTTCCTGTCTGATGCACTTAATCCAATCGTTTTGCATTTTTACATTTTGAGGAAATCTGAAATTTTATAAACTGTTACAGAAACTTGTGCTTTTCTTAAGTATTGCTTTTAATAATAAAATGATAATCCATGATAGCATTATAAATTATAATAGTCTATAAAATAAAATATATGTAATTGTAAAACAAAATAGTTCTATTCAATGAGTATAGTATAGGGATATTGTTACATTTATTTTAGTGTGAAGTTAATTTAAAAATAAACCTGTGAAAAGATGCATCAGAAATTTTCTCATTTCTATTTATTATTAATGCAATTTTTAATGCAGCAGGTAGGCATGTTTGTGTATAGCTACGAAAATGAAAATTTACTTAAAAACTAAATTATTGTATCTGACACGAAAATTAGTACAGAAACAAAAACAAAAGAATAAATGACAATAAAAATTTAAACATTGATTAAAAGAGTTTATTCTAATTATATGGTATGGGCAATTCGTTGCGAAATCGTTGGAGGAAATGGTGTCAACACTAGTTATTTTACTGCATGGTAGTTAATCAGCCGGTATGAAGGTTATATTCAATTCCTATCAAATAAATTTGACAAAATATCATACACAGGAAGGACTAAATAAAGAAATAGATAGATATATACACGTAGTTATAATACATTTATAATGTTGTATTTACACATTCAAATTGTACAATTGTGTAATGGTGTAGTCTCAAATTATTTTGAATTCTCTCAGAAAATTTTAAACGTTTTACTACACTATATATACTAGTTATTTTTATCAACAATTTAAAAATTTTATCAATAATAAAAAAAAAAATTCAAATTGATTTCATTGCGATATCGATAATGATTTTTGTAACCTGACTGATTAAAAAGCATCAAAGAAAGTTAAAATAGGATGGAGAATTTGTTATTTCGGGATATTCGTTTAAAAAGCGAGCAAAATTTTAATATAAAAGCGCTTATAAATCTATGCATATTGGCTCAGCTTGGCTTGGTTCGGCTTGGAATTGGATGTTAAGCAAGGTGTGGTCTCAAACTATTTTGAATTCTCCCCGAAAATTTGAACTGCGTGCGTACATATATAGTAATGGCTACTGTTGTTTTTTATAATGAATTTATAAAATATATAAATATAGCGAGCAAAATATTAACATAAAAGCGCTTTTAAATCTATGCATATTGGCTCAGCTTGGCTTGGCTTGGAATTGGATGTTAAGCAAGGTGTGGTCTCAAACAATTTTAAATTCTCCCCGAAAAATTTGAACTGCGTGCTTACATATATAGCACTGATTACTGTTGCTTTTATAATGAATTTTTATTATATATATTTATAAAGTGACTGGAATCCATGTATACAAATAATTAAATTAGATTATATGTTTATATGAAAAGCAATATAGCAGATTCAACCAGCCAACCAGAAAGTTTCGAAGGCGTTCGTTCGATGACTTCAATTTAGTACGGTTAGCATTGTGGTTAAGACTGTATAATAGTGCAGTGTATACATTAAACAAGTTTTTTACTGATGCGAATGATTGAAATGATGAGAATGTATGGTTGAAACGAGTATAAATAGAGGAGCTGAGACAACATGAAAATCAGATCAGGCATTCTGCCTCGCATGAAGCAGTCTGTCTGATCTCATTTATTTTATATTTAAAATTTTTTATTTTTATTTATTTTATTATATAGAGTTATATAGAGTTATATAGTGTTATATAGAGTTATATAGAGTTTGCATGTTTGTAGGTGGTTTGAATGTTTGTAGGTGGTATTTTTTTAATTTTAGGTGGGTTCTTTAACGG